GAAGAATATTTTGCATACAACTTTGGTTGACCCCAAAAAGATTCTTTTACCACCACTACACATTAAGTTGGGTTTAATGAAACAATTTGTAAAAGCTTTGCCTAAAGATGGTGATTGTTTTAAATATTTATGTAGAAAATTTCTTCATTTATCAGAAGCTAAACTGAAAGAAGGGGTTTTCGTTGGGCCTGATATTCGTAAATTGATGTTCGATACCAACTTCGTACAAATGAGGGAAAAGAGGCTTGGATATCATTGAGAGAAGTTGTGACGAAGTTTTTGGGCAATGTAAAAGAACCATCTTGACTTTTTTCCTACAAACTTAGGTGATGTCAGTGAAGAGCAAGGGGAACGGTTTCATTAGGACATCAAAGAAATGGAGAAACGATACCAAGGAAGGTGGAATGTAAACATGATGGGTGATTACTGTTGGACACTTGAACACTTGACACTTGGACACAGTGAGCAACAGAATGCTTCGCATCGGAGAAAAAGCTATGCAAGAAACTTTACAGAGAGAAAATACAAAAAACATATATCTAATATTTAGTAATCTATTATTTGTAAGAGAAAATTTTAACTTTATTAAGAACTAAATTTTTTAATTTTTAATTATCAAATTTTTCCCCATTTTTTGAAATATACAATTATACAATACACAATGTCATATTGTGAGAAAATTGTGGGTGATAAAAAAAACTCATATCGAATACGATTTCAGCACTAAAAAATACATAAGACTTAGGTAAATTAGTTTAAAAAGCTTTTACAAACATTTCTTTTGTTGGCCTGTGTAATTAATTATGAACTGAAGATGTAATCTGGGATTTCAATAAATTCCAAATTTTATTGTGAGGAAAAATATCAGTTACCTGAAAATTGCAATATTACTATATCTGTAGTAAATAATTGGGCATATTAGCTGAACAAACATCCCAGTGTAAAAAAGAATGGAATCAAAAATAATTTCCAAAACTAAATTTAATCAAAGAAATAATGAAAAGTCAGTTTTATGTTTTAAGAAGTTTAATTTTATTTCGTTCATTTTCAAATGTTTCATAATTAGCCCAACCGCGGAATCTTATCATTTACATTTAGTTTTATTTACGAAATAAACAAGCAAATGATATATATATAAAAATAAAAGTAACAAGAATCTTGTAAAAGTACAACTTTTTGAATTTCAAAAATGAGTTTTCCGTAATAATTTCGCGCTAATACGTTCTAGTTGGCGGCTTTATCGTTAGATGGCGGCATAAGTATCTTCCACATAAGAGTTCTCCTTCCACACAAAATTGTTCACGAGAATGATTGTGAAAGCAAGATTGGAAGGCATTGAAACGTATGGGATAAATATGTACGTAGGAAGCGATAAGTGCAAAGATAATGTTCATAAAATCGAAAATTGCTTCGTTGTCATAATAGATCTGTTTGAAATAATAACAAATATTAAATATTGTTATTATTGCAAAAATATATTTATCATTTTAATAGGAAATCGATATATAGCTACATAATAAAAACAGACATGTTCTTAATCATTCTTTGAACACATTTATACATTGTTATACAGTGCGTAGCAATAAGATAAGAATATTGCTTATCGTTAACAATTTAAACATGAAAGAACGTGGCTAAGACTCAGCAAAAATAAGAGCTGTTTTGATGAAAAAAAACTTAAACCCAACAATTTATTTTTTATGTACCTGCTCATGGTAAAACTAGAACATTAAAAAACAATACCTACCAAAAGCAGAAAACAAAAATTAGTCATTTAAAAATAGCCGAACGATTAAAATTTTAAATCAGTTACGTATTTCAAACTTGTCATTTCTTCTTTCTGGATGAAGAAGTTGAACGAACTTTTGTGTTTTGTTATAAATACATTTGTTGTGACCTACATACAACGTAATAAACCGTCTTTACCTGTCTCTTCATTTGGAATCCTGATGAAAAAACATCTCTCGACTACATACCTATGGAAGGTAGAATTAAAAATGAATAGGAGTTTTTTAAAACGTTTTTTTATCGAAAAATGAAGACCTTACTAGAATAAGAATAAAAAATCATTCTGTAAAATGGTAGGCGAATTAAAATACAAAAAAAATTGGATCAAAAAAAGTAAATCCTTTCAAGCACCTAGAAGCGGCTGCTGTTTGTCTTTTTAATATAAACACCTCATGTATGGATTTATATAATCTTAAAACTTGACATATTCTGGTTTTCCATTTACGTATGTAAATTATGTACTTTTTAAAAATTCAGCTTTGTTTGGGAAAATTCATTTCAGTGCGTTGCAATTTTTATTAAACACTTTGGACTTAAATTATCTACACGTAATTATAATTAAATAAGAAATAAAATCTAAATGGATATAAATAACATCGTTTCAATGTCGTATCACGCGAAACCATGACACTCTAATAACTCCAATATAGAAATGGAAAAATACAGCTCCTAATCAATTTTCCTGAAACCGAAGGAAAAAAACAGCATCTATTTGTACTGACAAATTCTATATTAATTTAGGGAGTTACAATCACTTATCGCGGATGTTTTTGTTTTTAGAAATCAAAATTCTTATTGCGTTGCTTCTTCCAGTATTTTCCTGCAATTTGTGTTAGACCGATTTTGTAATGAATCAATAATTTTGCGCAAAAGCTGTTTAAAATGTATAATTAAGGAACCTAAATAAAACAAATGGTAAAATCATACAAGCATTTCTTTCACTTGTCCCTTATAGATAATTAATCAACCAAAGGAAAATCGTGTTTTCAAAAATAAAATTTATTCGGAAATTTAACGCTAAATCTAACCGCAACTTATTTATGAACTAAGGTAAAAGTATGAATAGTAGTTTAGATTTAAAGTAGAAAAATAAAACGTCTTTCTAATATAATCAAGTTGAATTCAATATCTTTGATGCAACACAATCTATTTTAATGGCATACTTTCTTAACAACAAAATGCTTTTTTATGATACATAGGTACGTCATCTAAAACAGTTAATGAAAATTCTTACAGTATATTCTAAGATAAGAAATTATACTTTGTTTCAATTAAGGAATGACAATTGCTACAATTCTTTTCAAATTATTAACACACATTAACTAAATAATCGCAAGTTCATACACAATGAAATATAAAATTTCAAGGTCTTCTTTCGAGTAATTTGTATAGAGTAGACATTAAGGTATTTATTATTGCTACAAACGCTTAAACTGCTTTGGTTATTAGGTACTCTACTAGGTTGCTACAACTGTGAATTATGGTAAAAATTATGAAACTTATAAAATAGTAAAAGAAGTAGATAAGTTGGCTTAAGAAAACAGTAAATTAATGTTGTTATAGCAACACCCACGTCAATAAGTAATTATTATCACAACTAGCTAGAAGTAGTGCTTGTGAAAGTTACAGAAACCAGTCTTTTTAAAGCCAAAATAAACACACTTTCTTCCAATTGAAATAGTCAAAACAATGTTCCAAAGGTATGAAAAAAGTTACGCGTACTTACTATAAATGTATTAAAACTATTTTACATGACGTACTTAGACGAATCTACTTGAAAGTATTTGCTATTTTTGAATATACCTACTTAGAAGTCAGACAAAAGTATTACAAATTTTTGTTTATTAGTTTTAAAGACACCTTCATTATTTTTACAATAAAGTATTGTCAAAGGTCGCACCTGACTTATTTTTCTAAAGGAGAATTAACTACTAAATGACAACAATTGTACGCTCCTCTTAATATACAATAATTTGACGCATTTCACTATATTCCACAAACTTTTATTGTCACCACACCAGATTACGTCACGTGAATTCCATCTTATATGACCTTCGTAATCCGTACTCGCATTTCAGTCCAAAACCATCTAGGAATACGAAAAAAAATGTTTGACGCCTTGAAACTTCAAGAATGATCCAACTACTCGCAAAGTGCATAAACTGCAAACGACGCGCTCCAACCAAACGTTAACTATAACGCTGGCTGCTTCTCCGCTATCTTTTAACATGTACTCGTTCTACTCTGCTTTCTGTACTCTTCCTGCAGTGCGTCGCCTGTTACGCGTTGGGTTGCTGGGGCGGACGTATTGACTTGAAACCTGTTATCTCTGTTGCCAAACGTAACCCACTTTTACCACAAAACTGGCGTGTAAAACTTCAAGACGTTTGATTAAAACCGTCTTTATTCAAAACAGAATATGGAAAAGGGAAACGCCTTCACTAAGAACTTGCGCAACAATTTGTGGTTCATTAAGCGTACCAGTAAATAAACGGACGAAGACGAATACTTATAGTTAAGAAACTATTACAGCAATTATAGGACATATCTTTATTTATAATGAAGTTTATAGCACATACAGCGTGTGTTAACATTTTAGAGAACAATTAATATATGTAAAATTAGCTTATTTGATACGTAATGCATAAATATTAGTGAAGTTAATAGGTTTATTGTAGATCTACTTATCATGTTTTCTTCAAATTAATGTTAATTTATGTTAGTGTAAAAGCTGCTTTTGAGTAAAAGTATGTTCAACGAAGAAAGCATGAGTAATCTACATTATCTATTCATATGTATAAAATAAAACAAATATGGAATATTACGATTAGTTCTTTAGTACATACTTTAGTTATCCTTGAAACTCTCAAAAAAGTGGTAATTGGCATGTGAAGTTACTAACATCACGGCAGTAAAATTATTTCGCGTATTGTAGTCAAGAAAATACCTACAATAAAGTAGTAGCCATTGAAGCATGAAAACTTTCACTTGAACATGCTCTAATCAGTGGATGCTTTTGGCAACATCGCATTTGTTCTAGAATTTTAGTAACGGCGAAGGAGTACAAGAGGCGACATAACATGGTGTATGGCGTTTCAGCCTTGTATTTGCTATACACTTGAATCGGGGATTTCGAAACGAGTGTGCGAAAATCTGCAGTATTGCACTCTTTGATTTGCAATTTAAATACATTTCAATGTAAAAAGTGCAACAAGCTGAGCCTAATTATTAAATAATTCAACTCAAAAGGAGGAATACCCTCAGACGACTACTTAGAATATTGTCGTTATTATATTATGGCGTAGCTGAAACCCCGCGCAAAATGTGTGAACATGATGAACATTAAAGAAAAAACAACTTATAGATACAATGCTGTTTCGCTTTTAGTTGTGGTGATGTGTGATATCGTTGTTTTGTAGTGAATAGAAGGTAAGATATAGTCTGCATAAACGGCTGAAACTGGAATATCGGCAAATCCAATACTACTACTACTGCAAAGAAAGTATTTTCACAATTTCATTGTATGTAACGGCCATTCGAAATTCGCTTAGGCTAAGGCGGACACGGTAGGTGTTCCAACGTCCACCTTATCGATTAATACGTGACGCAAGCGCTATTTTGTGCTATACAAATTAACGTGTTTTATTAAGGACGTTCCTTTTCCATTTTCGTACATGTGTGTTGTACCTGATTCTATACGCTTGCATAAGCAAAATATTGCCCGTGAAAAATGTAGAGTACGGACTATTGTAAATTCTACAGATTTCGAAGCGACTTGAAATAAAAACAACTGATGTTATTACTTCGTACATTTTATTTTTAAAAGGTATGTAAAGCAGAAAATGTTGTTTCGGTTTAATGATGCGTCAAGTTGGGTGCAAGCGGCGCCATATTTGTATCTTTTTTCGCTGCGTAGCTCACTCCCTTCGCAGATGCATCACAACTAAATTTGATCGCCTCGTTCTACCGGTTGTGGCGTTGCTGTAGCTTCGTTTGGGTGGGAATGTACAGACAACGAAATGTTGGAGCGTTTGCTAGCTAGTTCACGCCATCTTGAATTTTAACATCGCAGGCTGTAGAGATGCTCCATGTGAGCTTGAAATTTTCCAGTGACTTTAAGTAGCTAATTATTTCTTTTACGCGAAAAACAAAAATGTATTCTAATTTTCGTGGTTTATTTATCATCGAATATTAGGAAGAGTATTTTCAAGGCGTTCTTACGTTTCATCAACGGGTAAGGACTTACATTACGATTTACGTATCTATACGTGTTTGTGTTGTACTCGTTGTTGTGTAGTGTGCATATGGGCGAATTGAAATAATAGTTGGTGTGTTTACATTTCTTTTTGAAAATTAACTGGAATGGTTTCATTCTACAGTTAGCAATACGATTGGTATTGGATGTGTTGAAATTATTATTTTTCATGTACCTACATGGGTGTTCCAAATGGATTGTCCACAATACGACGGAAATAACTCTAATTACAATGTTTAACTGATTGTGGAATTAAAAATTGATTTCTCCTAAATACTGAGTACATACAAATTTTAGCATTTAATTCAATTAGTTACATAATTATTGTGCAGCCATTTCCACTCTGGTGTGATAGGGAATAAGTACGAAAGCTTCGTTTGAGGCCTTCTGGTGTATTAAAGAACAATAAAAGTGAAAATAATGCATCAAGAAAGTAGTTTTGTGATAACTAAATACATACCTACGTGCGTTGTACAGATTAATAATTTAGGCCAGTAAATAAAATAGATTAAACTTATTTATTGAAAACAGGATGAAGTTGTGTTTCAGCCAATGGATCATCATCATGATAAGTTCATGTTTTGAATTTTATGATCAGTTAGTTGTTCATTATACTTTATGGTAAATAAATTTCAAACGAGAACGCTTAAAAATATCTGCAATTTTTAAGGAATTAACGAAACATTGAGTATATAGGTACTCATGTCTTAAATTTAGAATAACCTTCGCCTTCGATTTTGGTGGGTATTCACAACCGGGGGGAATACCATACATTCTTTCTTTGGTGCATAATATACTATAGCCCGCCTACCTGTTCATACAGGCTAACCTTCGAAACTGCTGAACTGATTTTGACGGGACTTTACAGACAAAGAGTAGTTTCTCAGGAGTGACTTCGGCTACTTTCTGTTTTTTTACTACTCAAACAACATCGCGGTATATTACTGTTTCTACTGTGCTGTATGTATCTGACAGCATTCTTCAGACCAACACAAAATAATTTTTTATTCGGTGGGGAGGGGGCTCCAGTTTTAGTTGGAACTGGACATGTTATTTGTTCATGAAGAATATTCATTGTTACATCTGGTTTCAAAAGAGGCGGAGTTTGAAATAAAACATATTTGAGGACAATAAATGTCACTAGTTGTGAATTCACTTATGTTTAACAAATTCCTTTTTAGTTAAGGTTGTTGATATCCATCCACATAGATGGCGTTTACTGCATTTTCTGGTTATTTATTAATATCGCTGATTACCAATACCATACTAGCTTCCTTTGTCGGTATTCTGTTAGAAATGTTTTAGGCGTGCTGAAAAGAACAAATTCGAGATCGTGATCCACTTCCGTTTCCATGGAATGCTGAAAATAAGATAATAAAGATACTTTATTTAGTTTTTCATTTATTTCTAAGCGTACTTTGCGGTTTCCTTTCGGAAATGACAATGTATGAACTTCATTCTCAAATACGACTGGACGCTTTATACTATAGCGCTGGTCGGTAATTTTAGCGTGTAGAGGATGTCTAAAAAAATATTCGTTAAAATATTACAGTGCCTTTCGCAGATTATGTGGTATCATCATCTGCCTTCTGTGGGAACCCGAATCGGCATGAAATTTAGAATAGAAGTGTCGGATTGGTATTATTTGATCGTGGTGCATTTTTCAAAGAATCTATTACAATCTATCATATAACCGAAGTGGTTGTGACAAAGTTGAATTTTTTTTTTTTTTTTGAAAATTCGATTCATATCACATTTAAGAGCTGATAGTCCTAACGCCGAATGCAGTATAGAACATCCGTTGGACCCTATTACAAAATGGCACTAATACAACAATAAATGCCTTGTGCAAAACACGCCTTTTCTGTCATGAATCGCCAATGCTGCTATTATTTTTTTACCCGTAATGTACCTAGGTGTTTCTATCTGTAATTTAAATGATGGATGATCATTTTCCTCCGAATATTTCATTTTTGTTTTATAAATGTTAACGTGTTTTTAGAAGAATTTGTGTCTTTCAAATGTGAAACGTTACTATAATTTCTGCAGTTTTAGTGAATTTTATTTAGTTAATAAATAAAAATTAAATATTAAAGATAATTTGCAAATGGTGAGTGCATATTTTTATGTACCTACTTAGGTACTTATGTGAGTTGTTCTTATAATAAAGACGTAGGAAATTAAGAGTATTTCAGTTTTTAAAATTATATAGGTATGTCTTGTGCTATTAAGTTTCTAAACCAGGGGACCTGTGTTCAGATTATTTTCTTAATAAGATTTAGTGTACTTGTGAATATTAGTGCAGTGCTATGGTTATTTAACCACTTAGTTATGGGAAATGTGTAAGCCGATTTTTAAAAGGAGTTATAAAAAAGTCACTTCTACCAATTTGATGTTTTCTTTATGATAGCTATTCTACGATTGGTAAAATTAATGAATTTTTTCATTTGATACGAAAAGCCTTCGGTATTTTAAAACAGGATTCTAATAAAGTCATTTACTTGAGCATCATGATAGAAAAGAGAGAAGCCTGAGGGTTTCAGTATTAAACATTATTATTGTTAATGTATTTCTACAAAAAGAAATGATTTTATTGGACAACCAAATATCCATCGGTTTCTTTTAGAGATTGGAACAAAAGGTCAGCATGGCTGATGACGAATACACTACTAAAATGAAGGAATTGGAAAAGTACATTCCGTTTATTGAAAAAATGATAATCGAGTTAAAAGATCCAAAACGGAAAAATAGAGAAGCTCAATTGAACAAAATGGAATCATTGCATTCCATGATAACAGACAAACGAAAAAAGTAAGTAGAGAATATCTTAGTTGTCCACAAACCATGAACCGACATGAATCCATTTCAGACTTAAAATAGACACGCTGAAGAAGTGCGAAGAAGTTTTAGTAAAACTATATGAAAAAGTGGTAAGTTCGCTTTTAATACTATAAAATGTAACTCATCATCATCATAAGGTCGTCAGTCCTAAACTGGTTGGATACGCACCTCCACTCTTTCCTATCCTAAGCTGATTTTCGCGTTTTCCTAAAACTAGAACAACCCACATCCTTAACTATTTGCGAACAGTAATCTAATCATGGTCTACCTCTACCCCTCCTAACTCTCGTTTCTGCCTCTAACATGTCTCAGACTAGACCTTCGTGCCTGAGAAGGTGTCCTAACCTATCTCTTATTGACTTCTATAGAATCCTCTGTTCTCCTATTCATTCTAATAACTCTTCGTTTCTAACCTTCTCTATCCACGGTATGCTCATCATTTGCCTGTAACACCACATTTCGAACGCTTTTAACCTTTCCTTTTCTGCCGCGCCCATCAGAAGCAACTATTGGTGTTTAATATCCATAGCGCGTGCTGAATTTAAATTAAGCGAATTTGTTTGTGGTACAATAGCGACGGTTGTTTTTTTATAGCATCCTGGAAAAAAAGTTGACGCACTTCCATTATCTCCTGCTACATCTGATCGATTAAAATTTGTATGTAAAAATCCTGCAAATGAAAATGTCTCGCCTTCGGACATTCTTAATACAATTAAGTTGAAAGCAGCGCGAGCTAAATTGAATGAGCTTTCAACGCCTGCAAGTCCTAGTCCACCGCGAGAAATCATCCCGTCACCAGTTCACAAACCAATTGTAATACCCACCGAAAAAGTTCAATCAACGCAGTAAGTCTGAATCCCCTGTAATTTTTTGCTAGAATGTGTAAGTATTTTTTTTTACTCAGGAGGAATGAAGACAGTTCGATATCAACATGGAAAAAATCAAGAACTGTGCAATTAGAAAAGCCTGACGTTTACAGTAAGGTGGCGAGCAGTTTAGGCTCAAACAAAAAAAGCTCAGTTTTTGATAGGCTTGGAATGCCATTTTTGTCCAAGCCTCCTTTGACCGAAAAAGACTTGGAAGATCTACAAACTCCCGACGATACCACAAATGATACAGAAGATTTAAGTTTAAGTGAACTAGAGGATCTAAGAGAAACGCTGAAAAGAAAATTAAGCGCTAAACATGAGAAAAAATACAAGAAAGAGTCTATTCCAAAGGCAGATTGTACGCCAAATTTAAAGTTAGCCACAGCTCCTAAACCTGTTCCCGCATCAACACCAAAAAATCCTCAAATTACAAGTCCTAAACCTGCACCACAAAAAACCATTCAATCTCCTTCGTCGACTTCTGTGCAAGTTAAGGGTAAATCTGACGACATTTCCAAAGCTCCTGCCACCATATCATCCACAGCAACAAAAGCATCATCCCAGGAGCCAAGAAAATCTTCACCTATTGAATCTCTTGATTCACAAATCGAAAAGGTTAAAGGTCCAAAGCTGATCGATCTAGACATTGGGTTTGGTAGTATAGACAAAGAAATATTGAAAGAAGAAGAGAAGAAAAAAGATCGACGCGACAGTGTTACGAAGAGTCACGAAAAGAAAAAGGACGCCGATAAAGAGAAACAAAAGGAAGACAAAAATACGAAAAAAGTCAAAGATCAACACGAAGAAAAGGCGAAACCTAAAAGCGCCGATTGCAAAACAACAAAAAATAAGAATGTATCGAAAGAAAAGTCTGATAAAAAGGATGGCAGTAATAAAGATAGAAGGAAGAGTTTAGAAACTAAATCTGTTAGTGAAAAGGGCAAGAAGGAAAAAGACGACAGCAGTACAATAAAAAAAGACAAGGTTGAAACGGATAAAAGTAAAAAAGATAAAGGAGAACTTGATAAAGATAAAAAAGATAAAGCTGAGACTGACAAAGACAAAAAGGGTAAATGTGACATTGACAAAGATAAAAAAGATAATGCTGAGACTGACAAAGACAAACAAGATAAGAGTGAGACTGTCAAAGATAAAAAAGATAAACGAGAGACTGACAAAGATGATAACGATAAAAGTAGAAATTCTAATGAGAAAGTAGGAGGTGAAGTCAAAAGTGTACAAAGTGAAGGAAAAGATACCAAAAAATCATCATCATCTAACATTGACACTTCCTCTGCAAATGCGAAAGTATCAATCGTTAAAAGTAAGAAACCAAACGATAAGGTAGAGAAAAACAGAAAAAATGAAAATGAATCCAAAACGACTTTATCACTAAAAACTGATAATTTTACGGGGCCTTCTATCGAATTGAAAATACCATTGTCCGGCCCCAAAGATCAGGACAAAATAACTGTATCTGATGTGATGGATTTGGATGAAGATAGTTTACCGTCCACTACAGAAACTTCACCTGTTACCAGTCAGGAAGTACTGAAAAGTTCTACCGAAAGTGAATCGCCAAGCAGTCCAGTAAATAAAGTTATAGAGCCAGCAAAGGAAATCAAGCTTATATATCAGCGTTTGGCCGACAAATATAATCCAAAACCAAAAAAAAAGGAAGACGTTAGTAATATTGAGATATGCAGTATACCACGACAAGACAGGCGAACAGTTCCGATAAATAAATCACCGGTGAATTCGTTCCATTCAAACCTAAAAGACCTTTCAGCTGATAAGAGCAAGCCATTCCAACATTTTGAAGAGCAGCAGCAACCGAATTGGTTCGAGCCACCACAAAACAACCCAGCTTGGGCACACAAACCGCTTGATCCGCCACCACTTATACCGCCAAGCCTTTTTGGAGATACGAATCCGTTCTTTATGCCACAAAATGAACAAATTCCAAACTTACAAAGTAACTTTATGCCTGCTTACGAAAAAAACGATCTGCATCGTCCAGAATTAGTTCCCATACGACAAGATATTATCTCACCGCCAAATATACCCATCAATTATCCGAATCTTCACAGCAATCAGTTAAATTACGCAAATCAACAACCTTTCCATCCGCCGAATCAAAACATGCCTAATACTGTGATCAACACATTCGTAATTCATCAGAACCATACAAATAGTGTTAATCATAATCAATTCTCGGATTCGTACAGTATGAGCCAAAGAAATAAGTCGTTTCACCCATTTGAACCAATATCCAACTCTCCAGAGATGGTTCCGCCCTCGCCATGTCAAGAAGATCATTACGATCTGAGTCGAATGGGACATGTGGATTTTTATCCAGGCTCGCAAAATAGTCAGCAGAATATATCAAATTCATCGCGTGGTGGTCTATTACCGACTCCACAATTTGGAGAGAAAACTCAGTACAATAATGACAATACACCGAACAGTAGGTTCAATAGAAACGAATGGCAAAATACGAGTAACCAAAGGGTAGATCCACGATTAAGAAGGGACGATCGTGATCCACCATCCAACATTAGAAATAGTAGTAATTTTAGAGAACAAAGATCTGAAAGAAACGAAAGAGAACCACCGAAACGATTCAGAGATAATGCGCCAACAAGCAAAGAGCGTTTTCGCAACCAACAGAAGAGGTCTGAAAGACGAAGCTCTGCAAGATACGAGCACAGGAATAGGTACGATGAAATGTATACGAGGTTAGATAAAAATAAAGAAGCGGAAAGTTTTGCATCTCCCTTAGACAGCTTGTACACGTCTGGGGAGAAACAAGCGACAGGTCGTGGTTATGGAGTGCAAAACTACAAAATACCGAAACGAAAACATTTAGATGAATCTCCGTCACAAAAAGATAGAAGTGACAATCGACATAAGGATAACAAAGATGATCAGGACGTAATTAGGAAAAAAACTGACGATAAAAAACAGGAGGATATTAATAAAGAATCAGAAACAGAACCAAAAGTTTCTAAAGATAAAGATTCAATTGAAACTGAACCAACTGAAAAAGATAAATTTTCTGATGTCTGTATTGAAGCTGAAGCTGAAAACGTAAAAGAAGTTAATAAACAAGATACAGATGATAAGCCACAACAGAAAACTAACAGTGAGCCTAAATTGCCGGAAAAATCGGCGGAAATTATTCCTGAGAAAGCGCCGAATGAGAAAACCGAACAGTCCATGCTTACGGATTTTATAACAAATTTGATCGGTGGAAGCAAAAAGAAAGATCTCCTGGTCGCCCTTTTTAACACAATAGCGGACGGATTGGAAGAGCAACAAAAAAAGAAATTCAAAAGAATCATTGTCGACTCTGATAGTAGCGACGACGAAAGCGAGAAAGACAAGAAAGATATCAAACCCGTCAAAGCAACAATTGTGGATGACGAATCCGAAGACGCAGAAAAAAATAAAGCGAATAATTCAGAAAGAGTAATAGAAGTCAAAAGCGATGTTAAATTGGACGATGCTGTAGATAAGATAGAGAGTGAAGAACAAATCAACATTCAAGTAGAAACAAAGGAAAACGATGACGCCGAAGCAGCCAGCGTACCAATGAAAAACGAAAAACGAAGAATCGGTCAAAGAAAATCAGCGAGACAACAGGCCTCTTCAGTTTCCAAGACTAGTACTCCTCTTGAAACTAAGAATGAGCTTGAAAGTGATGTAGATATTGAAGTTAAAGTTCAATCAGAAAACGAGAAGGCTAACATCAAATGTAATGAAGAGGAGTCCGAAGAAAATGATGTTGTATTTGAAAGCGTGGGTGAAAGAATAAAGAACCTTCGTAGACAAACGGTTCAAGAGAAGAAGAAAAAAAAGAAGACCAGAACAGAATTGGACATGCTCCATGAAGACATTAAAGATATGTTTATAAGAGATGGTGTACTAACTGCGACTGGAAAAAGAATGTGTCGCATCCTAAAAGATGATCCCGAAGCTCTTACAAAGAAGACTGAAAAGGAGAGCGTAGACGTTACACCTAAGATTGTCAAAAAGGATGCAGATGAAATAACCCCCATACCAACAGCATCCCGCAGATCAACTCGAAATCAACTGAGAGTTGTATTAGAAAAGACTGATTTCAGTAAATTAGTTCCTCCAAAACCACCTGAAAGGGTCTCCAGTTCCGACGAATTAGAGAGCGATTCAAATAATATTTCTGGAAGAAATCTTCGGAGATCGAGAAGATCACTCAACAAACCTGTGGTTTATTGCGAATTAAACGCAGAGGAGGATGCCAGTGAATCTACTACTCCTCCTTCAACTCCACAAAAAAAAGTCGCCAGAAATAGCGTAAGTAGCAAAACTGACAACGAATTAGAAGAAGAAATCGACATTCAAGTAGAAGCAAACACATCTTCCGATACTATCAAAGAAATTGAAGAATCTCAAGATCCGGAAAAAGAGACTAAATGTAAAAAGAAAAAGAAACGAAATTATAATAAATGGGCTTCCGGTGTTATTACTAAAAATAAAGGTAAGAAAAAGAAATCTGCAAACGAAAGTCCGAGATCCAATACAACAACTCCAACTCCGTCAGAGAAAACAGAGCCATCTGTGCGATCTGATTCGGATCACGAAGAGATAAATTCGGCTGTTGGTGATCGCGAATGGTTCGTAGAACCTTCTGTTGCTGATTATTTTGACAAAGACAAAAAGCCTGAGTGTAAACTTTGTCCTTTTAAAGGAAAGTTCATAGTTCATCATTACAAACAAAAGCATAAAGATAGCGAGATATTAATATCTCGACTGCCACCAGATGTTACTGCTGCAGCCATACAAGAATCTGTCGAAAATAATTATGAATCCGTAACGCCCGAGGACATTATTGAGCCGAACGGAAGGAAAAAGAAATTTCTATTTAAGTGCATCTTCTGTCATTTTATGATAAAGAATGTAAGTGCAGAAATATTTTTTGATCATCTTACTCTTCACACAGGAGAATACAGGTTCATTTGTAAATTATGCACTTTTTATACTAATCAGGCAAAGCCGTTACGAGCACATTATAGCTCTGTGCACTTCATGGCCGCAGGAGAATACGGAGGAGCCAAAGCTGAGTATAGCGCTCCTCCAAATTATTATCTCGTTTTCGGGTATGTTTGTGGACAATGTAATTACTTACAACTGAACAAAGAAGCAGTAGAGGAACATATTAAAATTTTCCATCTCGACAACGACACAAAAGTATTTAAGATAAATATGTCCTTAGAGCAAACAAAATTAGAAGCTGTCGTAAAATCTGAAGACGAGGAGGTGGTAGTTCCTAATTCGCCTAGTAAAAATAAAAAAAAATTCAAAGCAGAAGTATTGCAAATAGTGAAGCCTGAAGAAAAAGAGGAAAGTAAGAAATCGGAGACTGACGAAAACAAAACTGACAGTGATACGGAAAAAGTGACTGTCAAATCGGAAGAGGAAGTAGAGAAGGTGAGTAAGGTCGTAGAACCACGAAAATTCAACAAACCGGGTCCAAAATCTAAAAAGAGGAAAGCGCCTGAAGATTTGGAAGAAAACGCATCTTACAAGATAAAGAAAGAAAAAAAAGAAGATGAATTGAAAACCGTGGAATCGCATGAAGAAGAAAAGTCTGATGCACTTCTTGACAAAAAGGCCGACGATAGTAATGAAACAACCAGTCCAAAAACAATGTCTAAAAATCGAGGACGAGGCGTTCCAATGAGAAAGAAGCTAGCTTCACAAAAGATAATAGAGGGAATTCAAGAACTTCACGTTGCAGAAGTTGACAAAGATAAAATTGCTGGTGAAATCCAAGATGGCGAGTCAAATAGGGATGACACTAAAGAAACTAAAGAGATGACCGATGAATTAAAGATGACCAACGATACAAATATCAAAACAAAAGCAATTGACGAACTTCCTGATAACTCAACAGATAAGCAAGTTGATAGGAATATATTTATGTGTGATGCCGAAATCGTAGAACGTGAACAAAAGATAGACGAAGAACGTTTAAAAAAGATGGAAGAAATAAACCAAACAGTTTCTCAAAAACGAGTCAATTTAAAGTTCACTGAAAAATTAAAAACGATGCTGGAAAAACCTACGGATGTCGATGTGGATCCACAAAATATTGAAGAAATAGTAGATAAAGTGCCTGATTCAAACGACGCAAATTCAGTACAAACCACTGAAATAAATGCTAAGATTAATGTTGAAGATAATGTATCAACTACGCAAAAATCCCAGGTGACAAGATCGTCTAGGACTCATATTAAAGAGAAAAGTGAGAAATTAAATTTTACAAATTTAACCAGCAAAAACAATACTCCTATAAGCAACATTATTCAACGTTTACAAGGAAAATTAGACACCGAACCGACAGTTAACGACAAGCCCAAACCGCCACCGTTGCTTCGTCTTTCCGACTTGAGTCCGTTAAATGAAGACGATGAAGGAGAAACTATTCTAGTTGGTCCTGTTGAAGGCAAAAATGATAAAGAGTGCATGATATATGGATGTCTGGTGGATAACTGCGTATTTAAAACGACCTTGGAAGATGTGTTCGAAACCCACTGCATCGAAAGGCACCCTGGTACCACATGGGATGGGTTTTGTAAAGCTTGCAACGAAAAAGTCGCGCTCCAAGAAGAACCGTTAAATATGAACGATGCTCTTCGTCACTTGGCAAAGGTGCATTCAAAGCACGAGAAAGATGACTCATTTGAAGAAAAAGAAACGCCTCGTATAAGTCTTAGAGTGCGGAGGTTAAGCGGAGATACATTATCTAAGTCAGCCGAAGCAAGTTGTATGGAAATTTCTGACGAAAAGCCTGTCAGTGAAACATCGGAATTTCCTTTCAAAATTTTGAGTGTAACCTCTGACACAAGTGAGGAACAGCACAACTTCCCCTTCCAGATTAGTTGCGTAACAACACTAACCCCTGAACAAGAGCAAGAACTGGAAAAATCTGTTACGATTGAAAATCAAACTGAACAAATTACATCTACTATCAATACGACTGTTACGACAAACGCGCAATCGCAAAGTAGCGTGGCGATCTTAGGATCATTAGCAGGTACTAAATTGAATGTATTAATACCCATTGTTCAGACTAGCATTGCGAATTCTATACTACCGAAAAGTAATATCAATCGGACGCCAATTATTTCACAAAATCTGGATACTAAAAAACGGGTTACTTTGCGAGAAATTCCGATACCGCCGGAAGCGTTAAAAAACCGAAAATGGGAGTATGCAGAGCGATGTATGATGCCTTTGCACAAACTCAAACATTTGTACAAGTGTCCAGAATTTAATTGTTCCTTTACCACAAGCAACCCGAAAAAATTCATGGATCATCTTGTTAAACATCCTGAAATAATCAAAATTCAAGAAACGGGGATACCTTGTTTGTATTGCAACTTTAAAACGACATTGGAACAATATACGTTACATATAGACGTTAGACACGGCAAGTGCCAGTACGGTTGCACTTTTTGCTTCTACAGGGCTATTTGCCAAAGTTATGTCCAATTGCATATGGAAGAGATGCATCCTGGAAGGACGGGATTTGTCTATAAGGTGGCAGCAATAACAAGAAATGCCAAACCAGCCATGTCGTTCCCAACCCTAAAACAACTTATTCCAGTTATAGAATGCGCTCGTGAGTATTGTTTCTAATATGTCGTTAACTATAAACCAAAGCGAACTGTAAATTATTGTAATTTAATTATTTACATTTGCAGACTGCAAATATGTAACGCTGTTTATGGACGAATATTTTAATCATTGCAAAGACAAACACGTTTTGGCGCAATTGAAATGTTTCAAGTGCAAAAAAACGTACCGAAGTTTTCAACCCCTGGTTCACCATCTTCGGATACACAACATTTGGACCTACAATTGCCGTTATTGTCCATCAGGGACTTCATCTACACATGAACTATACAAACATTTGGCTGTCAAGCACCCCACTTGTCCTCCCGAAATAATTATCCGACAATTCATTCCCGATTACACTGGGGTAATTATTATTTTCCTTTCACTGCGTTCTGGTTCAGTGCAGAACTAATGTTAATGATGTTGATCTTATATTTACCGCAGTTTTAGGTAATGCCTCGACGATTTTGTTTATTTATATAACATTACCTTTCAGCGTACTCCAGACGAATATAACTATAGTGGTGAAGAAGTTTATACACGTTTAAGTCGCATAGTTACTGAAAATCCAAAATGGGCGAATACGAAACTTTTACGCGATCTTTCAGAAGATGACGACGAATCACCTCCAACCACTACATCTATGCTATACGTCTCTCCTAATGTCAGTGCCATTTTACCTGGATTTACAACAAAGACTGTGAGCAAAACAACAAATGCTGTAAAGTCTGTGATGAGTAGCCGACCATCTACATCTACGAAACCATTACCCCCTGCCGAAGATAACTCTATGGCTCAACTCATCAAACTAGATGGCAATTTAGAAAAGAAAAACGATCAAGGAGGTGTGACATTAAATAGTCAGCAAATTTTTGTACCCGATTTCGACAATTCGAAAGAAACGCCGGGAGAGACGGAAAAATCCACTTCCCTTCGAGAAGAAGAAAGAGATCCGTTGGAAATATCCGCGTCTGATTTTGAAAATTCGCAATCAGAATTGGTTGCCACACCCAATTACTTTTCAGAAGTCGATTTTGACGAAACGATGACCGATGAAAAGAGCCAAGGCCTCCAAGGTTGGCAGCTATTCAAATGTGAAAATTGTAATCTGGGCTTCGAGAATTCAACCCAGTTCCGGTCGCATGCCATTAAATGCTTCGAGAACAAGGGTGAAACCCAAAAACCGTTTCGTTGTGCTCATTGCCCGAAGAACTTCAAAACAGCACCTGCTCTCGTAGATCACGTGCGAGTGCATGGAACTGCCAAGTTCACCTGCAGTCTTTGTGATTACGTCTGTCGTTCTAAGACTTACGTCCATAATCATATGAAGACGCGTCACAAAATGAGTAACTACATAGTGAATCCAGTTGATGCGACGAAACGTGATATGGATAAGGACGATTTTATAGTTCGACCAAGACCCGTCAAGGTAGCAGAGTCAACAGCTAACGTAACCAATGAAAGCGGTAACCTCTCAACCGATTCAAAAGCTGCATTATTTTTGGAAAATAAGATTATAAAAACAACGTTTAGTCCGCAAGAGATCAATTTGCTGCCCCGGCAGGCTGTGTGTAGTGTGGAATTGAAATGTTCCGAATGTCCGTATGCGACTAAAGTAAAGACAAATCTGGTTCGTCATCTACAGATGCACGAAAGAGAAAAGGAGGTACCGGTGAATGCACCAGTTAATCCCGTTCCATGTTTGGATAAAAACGAAAAAATGTTCGATAAAATGATTAATCTGGCATTTGCGTCAAACACCAATGCAAAAACTTTTTCAAAATCATCAGAAAAATCAGGCTTGACTAAAGAGGAAGAAGAGCAACTTCCCGCTTTTGTTCAGTTAACAAAACGATATGTTTGCGGAGCTAACGGTTGCAACTACCTGTGTCTCGAAGATGCCATGTTACGTCACCATCTTCTTGCTCTGCACGCCCATGAGACGGAATACAAATGCACACATTGTAATGAGAAACTTACGTCCGAAAAAGGATCCATTAACGTCGATCTCGTTATGAAACACTATAAGCTGCATGATTTACACTTATATATGTGCAGCGAATGCAAATTTGTTCACCATCTTCGTCATAAAGTTGATAGACATCTTTCTGAAAAACATCCGCTTCAAGAAGCGAGGGTGATTGTGGTTCGGGATATGGATTCGGAACCGCATGAAGAAGACTACCCGAAATCACAAATGCCATCGTCGTATTTGGAAGAAATAAAGGAAACCAAACCGTGGCGTTGTGGAATGTGCAAATATCGGTGCACTACACGTAACGAAATTGTTGCCCATGCGTACAACAAACATGAAATGACGAGTCAGTATAAATGTGCATTATGTTCATACAAAACTGCATCAAAGGATTCCTTTGATGAACATTACTCATCAAGACATCCGGGTCAAGCGATTGATATAATTGACGCTTTCTACAAAATTGATGAGACAGTGAGTGTCATCACGAAAGAGAATTCATTTGATACCACACCCTTATGGCAAAGAGACAGACCGAGAGTAAGACATATACGCGGTATCCTATTCGATGAAAGTGGACGTGTACCTAAGAAGTCTCCTTTCAAAATTACACCAGTATCATCCTCGCTCGCAAACAGCAATCTAGACGAAGCCATCGAAGCCGTTGCAACAGGAACTTCAATCGTACTAAAGAACATTGAGAAAGCTAGCCAAAAAGCTTCAAAACCCACTGGTGGGTGTGAAATAATTGAAATCAAAGATGATTCGGACGAGGAAGCATCACTGAACCAATCGGGTACAAAGACGTATCATAGAGTATCCGAGATGCCCATATTAAGTCCAATCGATCCTTTAGATATTACTTCCAATAATGATGATCCGTTAAATATTGAGATAACTGATTATGATAGACTGAACGAAGTTGTACCAGAGTTCGAAGATGATAGTACAGGGCTCAGTCAAGAAAATCGCGAGGGGCATAGATTGTATGAAATTGCCGAGATGGACATAAATAAATTGATCGCATCTGACTTGATGGGCACCTATGGACCATATGGAAAACCTCTGAATAAGCAATATCTCTGCCCATTATGTGCCAAATTTAAGACTAAAAATCCAAAAGACATCACCCATCATCTTTATAGAGAACTGGATTACGCAAGGTAATATAATTTAATTGGAAGAAACATTCATTGCACAAAAGATTTTTTTTTTTTTTTTTCTTAAATTCGAACATCATCTTTATGAAATTCCAGGATCATTGAAGATCCGTTTTCTATAAAATATTGTAAACTGCATATGATTCTATTTACTAGATATTGCTGCACCATATGCGGCCGTAAAGCGATCACGTTCGACTTTCTTCAGCGTCATGCGTCAACAGTCCACAAAACAGATTCACCCGCCACACTGATTCAAGGTTTGTCACCGAACATTCAAATCGAGAACTGGGTGCACGCAGTATTACTCGTGCAGCGACGTATTGCCGCTCATGGCACCACTCCTAAATCACAGACCCAACCTGAACAGTCTACTTCACCTTCTCCATCTAATTCTTGTACCCCAAACACTGTAGCGTCCTCTATGGCGCTTATAACTCCAATAACTGTCAATGCTCGTGTTAGTTCAACGCCATCTATTTCCGCTACAATCACTTCTGTAGTGACTACCTCAGCTATGCAAGCAACAGTCACTCAATCAACTCCCACTTCTTCCATGGTTCTTTTGAAGGATGTTACTTCTGAAGCCATATCGGCCGTGACAACCACCCCATCTGTAGTTCCCGTTGCAATTATTGATTCACCTGTTTCTTCACCGTCAGTACCTACTACGGTCGAGACATTTGCTACCGTTACACTTTCTCCATCGGCATCAACTGCAGCAAAATCGGTGACACCAACTTTAACCAGCTTGACAAGACGCGCATTTGACACCGCAAATGCTAACATAGCAATGATGGCGCCTTCTACTTCGCCAACAACTACGTCACCAGCGAGTCCTATAAAATGGCATTATTGCGTTCACTGCTCATATAAATGTAAAAATGCCAAAGACTTGAAAAGACACGTAAAACGACATTGGGCGCAAAAACCTTTCCGATGTGGTATTTGCAACTTCGAAGGCATCTCCAAATACGAGATCATCATTCATTCGAAACGTAAACATAAGGGATTGGAGGTAGGTGTTCGTTTTAGTAATTCTAATTTAAATGTTTAACTTTTCTTTTTACTCCCAGCCTTCACTGATTCTCATACCAACACCAACCACCCCTACCATAATTCCTGTTATTAACAGAAAACGGAAAATTCTAAGCGATTCCGACGAATCTATTTCTAAAAAGGTGGATTTGGACACGTTAGATAATGTGACACCTGATATTGTAGACGTCAAGGATAATTTAGTTGACGCTTCTTCTGCTACCACATTTGAAGATGATCGAGTTGATCAACTAAATTCTCCAGACAGTGAAAAAAATAACTCAGTATACCAGTGCAATTACTGTCCTAAAACTGAAACTCGCATCGTTACTTTAGAAGAGCATTGGCAAAAAGCGCACAAAAGCAAACTAAGACCATTCCGTTACAAAACAAATCCATCAAGGACCAGAATAAACCTACGTTGCGGCTACTGTGACTGGGGAGCCAACATACAATCTCTTCGTTTACACCACAAGGATTCTCATCCTGAATTGCCGTTCGTTATTTACAGACGTAAATGCGACAAGTGCAAGGCGTTCTTTCTGAAACTGAGCGAATATAGTGAGCATCCTAAAAATTGTCCTGGGCTAATAGTAACTCCACAAGCCCAGAATGACAGTGACAATGATGCACTACCTACAGATGACCTTCTTAAGGTGACTGCTAAAGAATACGTGTGCATTATTTGCTACAAATATTTCGGTAGCCAAAATGCTCTTCTAAAACACAGTGCTGCAGTGCATCAGACAGAGAAGAGAAAGAATGAGGATAAGAACGCTGGGAATGCATCCAAAGTTATTGTGTTATCTGGCAGTGGTTCTGAGTCATCTGATGTAGACATGTCCCGGGCGAGTAAACTAACAGCTAGAAAGTCAACATCCTCCAAAATAACCGCCAGGAAATCGACAGCAGCTCGTCCCTCAATGGTGTTGCAGGATGAAGAAGAGGAAGGTTATTCCTACTATGGAACCAAACCGAAAAAGCTCGATCTCGATAAAATAACAACTGAAGTTCCTTTCATGGGGAGCACGGTTGAAACAAAGATTGAAAAGTTAGCACAGATTGTGAACTTGTTCCCAAAAGTCTTACTAACAGATTGTAAATTACAAGATCAAGTATGACACGAAATTCAAAATACCAAGAAAGATAATGACACACCTTTAAAGGAAGCTATCGATCTACAATTACCTCCCATCAGTTTTAGTGATAGTGAGTTGGATGATGAACTAGAAAAAATCGTGCCCACTTTTTTATCTTGTAATAGCGGATTAGCGGAAAGTGAATATTGGTTTTAAAAATTTTTTTATTTCGACCCTAACTTTTTCATTAATTGAACCAAAGATTAGAATGTAATGGTAGACGTCGTATATGTAAAGGTATTATTACAAGAACAGTAAATTATCTACCTCCAGCGACACCTTTGGCTCCAGTGTCAACTAAGTTAAACATGAAAAACTTTACCCGAAGTAGTGTTTAATAGAAAATATTGTGTTAAATAAGAATTGATTCTATTAAAATTTGATATTTATTTCTTCATTGATTAAGTTATTTTCTTCTTTTCCATGAGGTTAATTTCTTTTTCTTAAGGCAAATATTCCTTTATTTTTTAAGATTTAAATTAAAAGTGCACACTTAGAGGAAGGAAGGAAGAGGGGATTTACCTGATGTCTCATGATATTTTTCCTAGTATGTTATATGAGTAACAAATGTGTATAGCAATTCCTAGTTTAAGAAATAATGTAAAACGAATAGAGACGGCATTAAAAGCAAATCTCACTTATTTTTTTTAATAATGAAGCACCGACTGGTTAAGCGAAATGGCTGTGGAAAGCATCGTTATGAAGATGTTATTTAATATAAGTAGGCTTAGAAAATGTTATATACGATTATTAAGTCCTAAAGAGGTTTGATTTTGTAATATGTTTTAAGTTTACAATAAACGAATTTTTTCTATGAGCTTTGGTGTTTGATTGTTAAACTGAATAACACGTGTTCTTCCTCAAATGTTCCTTGTATCGGGCGGTTATCGAGCGTAATTTTGGGGAGAAATAGAATGGAACAATAAACTTGATGAAAATGGATTTGGCGAGACTTATTCTTATGGTCTTATATGTCGCCTTATGAACGGAATAATAAATAATGGGTTCCCTCTTTGGACATAGTCTGGCGATAGTGACCTATTTTTCAAGTAGTGTACGAAGAATTTAAATTCAATTTGAACGGTCACTTTTGAGGGGAAAGGCAAGAAATAACGACTTAAATTATTTTAGAATTTAATGAAAAATGCAGATAGTGAGATAACATGTACCGTTTCTAATTTCTAAAGTTCAAAAAATCGTTCTACTAAGCTGCACTATCCCCAGCAATATATTGATAAAAATAAGTCTTCAGTATGAAATCTGTATATTTGTAAATCAAAATGCTTTGAAAAGCAGGTACGTGCTGCTAGTAATATTCAACTGCATACCTCTAATAATTAATAATCTATTAATTGTTACTTTATCTTATTGCCTGATGAGGTTGCTGTGTGGCATGAATGTAATGGTAGCAATGATAAAGTCCATCGAAACTTAACACTATGGATTCCAGACCTTGACACTTATCAATAGTGGATTCGCAACATTAAAAATTAACTGCCTCAGCAAGCAGCAACTTTAGGTGTTCCATTCATGGAACACCTTGTTTGAAATAAAATGGTCTGATGATTGAAATAGACAATTTTAGCCCCTATTTGAGAGAAATGTTGTGGCAGAAAATTAAAAATCATGTATAAACAGAAATCAGCATTTGTTTTTTTGTTTTGGCTTCTTTTTTCTATTAAATGAAATAGATACTTAAACTTCTGCAACGGTGGAGTAATTTTGAAGCAACATCAAGAAAATGAGGTCCTCAATTCGACAATTTTTTTTTATGTGTAACGCGATTTCGTCGTAGATTGTGAACCGATTTTGATGATTCTTTGATTATGAGGTACGCCATATTTTAAGGACGGTTCCGCTCAAATTTGAAGAAAATCTGAGGCTGGAAAATTAGGGAATGATTCCGTTTTTTTAATATTTTAGTTTGAGGTTGTACATATAGGCAAAGTATTGAAGCCTATATTTAAACTATACTCATATCCAACAGTTTTGGTTATAGAAGTATGAAGTAATTTTTTATAGGAGTTATAGACACTCATTGATAATTACTTATGTGCACATAGGTACCTATCTACATATTTCTTTTAATTGCAATGAAGCCAAAAAAAATACGATTCCTGAAATGAAACTTCTTACTCCTACTTTGTTTTGTAATTTTATGGATATTTGCGAAAGTATATTAATTTATTTAAAAGGAACAAATAAAAAAACCTCTTATAGTTTTGATAACTATTTACCCTAATCGTAAAAAAATAGTTTGTAACTGCCTTCATAAATAAATATACATATAAAACATCATTAACGTTTATTAATTTCTTCATAACCGTGACATTGTAATAGACGATATATCCATTTTATCTTGTTTTTTTTATATGCTTGACGAGATTACAGTCACAACTGTGACCTTCGTGACAAGGAACGACGAATTCTCGGTTTTATTCGATTGTATTTTGCAGTGTCTTCAGTTCGTTTATTTCTGTTGTGTGAGAAGTTGTTGTTTGTGAACTTTTTGTTTAAAGCTGCTTAAATAGTATGGATACAGGTGGATATAAGGTAAGTTTCAATATCATATTTTCAATTTCGTATTTCTTTTGTTCTACATTATTTTCGGTACGTAACTTTGAATTTTAAGCTGCAAAATGTGAAGACGTAACAAAAGGTTGTAAAGTACATACGAGATATACACGCAGTATATAAAATTTTCAGTGCTTTCATTTATTTATTTTAATCGTCTTATATATCTTATAAATAGAGTTCGTAATACAATAATGCGTGAGGACGCAATTAATTACGGTGCTTTTCCATTCTTACCTTGTGCAAATCAAAAAAAATTTAGGCACTACATGAAATAAATTACCAACTAATTAATTTTAAGGAAATACTTTTTCATATAAAACTTTTAATGAATAGTTAATTCTGATTTTTGCGAAGGTTAAAACAAAATTTAATTTGGACTACGTATAACTAAACCATTGCAAAGTATCTTAAGATTATCAACAATCCTATGTATTAATTATTAACATATTCTTAACCCTATTTATACTCTACTCTTTTCTCTCTCCCCCACCTAATTCCTTGCCTTCCTATTCCTTAAAATCTTTAGACGACTCAGCCTTCACCCATCCTTCCTTACCAACTCGTAGGCTTCTTCCCAGGTCCCACCAATCTCATATTCTCCTCACACATGCTTCAAGGTCTCTTCTTCCTTTTCACATATACTTCATCGTCTTCTTCTTTTTTTCAATATATACATCCTCTGCCCAATTTCCTGCCCTAAATCTTTCCGTTAGAATTATTTCCCTCCCTGCTGAATACCGTGGCACCCACTCCCCCTTCCTGTATCTCCATATTATCTCTTTTACACCCATCACATACCAAGACTTCTCTACATCCGCAGTTCCGCATACATTTTCACATCCGCTTCCGTATCTGGTTCTGCATTTTTATGATGGAAGCTTGTCGGAAGTAAACAAAATCTTATTTTTCATCTTTTTGAAAATTCTAGATCGGAACAATAAAACAAGTCCTAAAAATTAATTTTATCTGTTGGCTAAACTTGGCCGTTTTCAAAACACAATTTAAACGGAATTGCTCATTGCAAAGCTACATGCTGTACAGGTTCCTACGTCAAAAGTAAAATTCCACGAACCACGGCCAAAAATTCCGGAAAAAAACACCGCATCGATTCCTACGCCCTAAAAGGTGCTCTTGGGGATAGTTTAAATGAAATTAAATTTTAGGCTTTAAATAAGCGAGGTACCGTTCTGCAAAGTACCTAAGCTTTGTTTTTGCGCAATTGAAATAGATTTCAAAAGTTAGAGGACATTTTTGGCATCTTTTGATACCATTTCTGAATAATTAGAGAAGAATTCCTATGCCCTAAAATATGCTCTTCCGGGTGGTGCAAACGAAATTAAATTTTGAACTTTAAATAAGCAAAGTAAAGTCCTGCAAAGTGAGGTCTGTTTTTGGTGATTTTTGAGAGCATTTTTAAATAATTAGGGAAGGTTGTCTGTGCAACAGAGTGTGCTTTTTTTATGGTTTTAACCAAAACTTAATTTAAACTATAAATAAATGAGGTGCGGCCCTACAGTGTGAACTCTGTTTCTACTAAATTTTAAGATTTGAGTAGATATTTGACAATTTTTAAGATTAGTTCTCAATAATCAGAAAAAGCTTCATGTGCTTTAGGATATACTCTTTCCTACGGTTTAAACGAATTTCAATTTGTACTTCAAATAAGCGAAGTAGAATCATGCAAAATGAGTTTTGTTTCTGCGAAATCTAACCGATGTTCAGATAGTTGTTGAAACCAATTTTGAATAATTATGGATAGGTTCGTATGCACTAAGGCCTGCTCTTTTTCATAGTTTGAATAATAAGAATAATAATGTAGTGTCTAGAGAAGTGCAAAATAGTTTTTTTATAAGTATTCAAATACAAAATGGAAATACTTCTTTGATTTGTTATTTCAAATGTAAAATACAAAATAGATTTCTCTTTTGTATTTTAAATGCTAAATACAAAATACGTATTTTCAGCTGCGAAGATTGATTAGTATGTATAGTCTTTTTGTTATAGTTTCTTCAGTTCAGATTAACAAATAATTCTTCCGTATGCTTTTTTTATTTGCCTTTCTCAACCGTTTTAATTGGAAAAAAGACACTAATGCCAGAATAGTTTGTTTAGCGTGAAATATCAGATCCAAAATATGGGTTGCAAATAATTCTATTGATGTAAAATCAACATCGATCAATTTATATCAAAATATTTACAACCCCATTTTGTTTCTGATTTTTTACACGTTGTAATTAGAGAAAGAAATGGAATCCATAGTTTGTTTAGCTTTGGGTTCATCTAATAAGTGAAGTTTTTCAAATAGTTTTCTAAGAATTTTGGNCATGAAAGTCTAGTCAGAGACATATTAGAACCAGAAACAGGAGTTAAAAGGAATAGAGACAGACCTAGATTAGATTACTGTTTGTAAATATTTAAGGATG